CTTGAAGGAGCTCGTCCGGTACGTCGCGTGCGCAGCAGGGCCGCTAGGTGCCTGCTTGAAGCATCGCGGTGACTCTGCATTGTTCAATGAAGTCGCCGGGGTAACCAGAGAAGCATGGTACGGTTTTAACAGCCTCTCCCTGCGCGTCTGTGACATAGAATACTCTTACTGGAGCTCTGGCACAGGAGCCGAAGGAAATAGAACGGAAAACGAGGGGAAAGTTTTACCCGCAACAGCCACAGCGTCGAATCTGAAGCTGGGTATATGATGCCCCATAGGCAAAAGTACATATCTGGATTACTCCCGCATGAGTGGCGCCAGTATGATTCGAATTGCTTCTTGAAAAACTCTGGCTTTCTTGGTAGATGTTGCCCACTCGGGAGGAAAAGGCAGCTTAGCAGCCAGTGCGTGGCCTGGTTCCGTCCCCCGCAGCTTTTCAGGTATGTTGAAGAGCGTTATGAGGACATGCCATGCCTGTTTTGACGCACATTGCGCGTCGCGTTGGTTCCGTCGCAGTAGACAATGACGCCAAGAACCCAAGCTGATGGGTTGTTCACCTCCTTCTGCCACATATGAACATATGCTGTTGAGTGCGCATGTCCACACGACAGCGCAACCGAGTACGGCCATATGGGAAGCATCGCGTATCTGAGCCTCTTCCAGCCATTTAGCGGTTTCAGGACCGGTGTACATCCGCTCGTTTGTATCGGGGTCCACCTCAGTCCGCGGTTTGGTGACGAACCCTTTGACTCCCCCAAAAATGCGCTCGAGCTACTTCACGAGCTGTCACAACGCCATTACACATAACATAACATGGAATGGGTATATCCGCTGTTTGCAGGGACACCAAACACTGCGATGGCGTAGTACGGGTTGGACGTACCAGCTCCGTGTTCCTGTAGTGCAGCAGCATCTTCTAAGTTTATCCGCACGGCCCTCTGACCACTATCTCTGGAAGCGCCCTTGCTTCACCCCATCGCCTCACAACCAGCCAATTGCGTCAACGATGCAAAGCACGCAGGTTGAACCTCGGATTTCTGAAGATATGCAACAAGCGGTTGACTTCGCGGCGAGACAAATCAGCGTTTCTAATTAACAGATAGATCGCTGTAAGGGTGTCAAATATCTCGCCATCAGTATTCTGCTCGCTACATGTAGAGTGATCGTCCGCATCACTATGCTCTACCTCGGCGGCTGTTGGAACTGCAGCTCTCTTAAATGATGCACTCTCACTTGTGCAGCGTCTGGCGGTGGTCTGGGCGGGAGAACGGGGAGGGATCAGCGAAAACGCCTGACGGGCCTCTAGGTATGCCTTTGTGAGGAGGACTTTCCCACGTCCCAGAAGTTTTTCTCTGCATTCTGCACTACTAACCAAGTGTGACTGAAGCCTGTTGTCGTCACGGAATGCTTTAGTGCATCCCCCGCACACGTTGCCACCCATGATACTACCGCAAACCCTAATAGTTGGATGCGCAAAGTTAGAACACTTTTGGGCTTGGAACTTTGTCAGTCTACATCATACTCGTTACACACGCACGTTGTATAAAAAAATGCCAAGCATAAAACCGCCATAGTGTGTCGGATTGTAATCATCGTTCAAACTCAGGGGGCACAACTTCTGCATTTGAAGTGTCTCGTTAAGATACGCATGCGGCCTTCGAAACTTGTAAGCGCGTTCGTGGAACACATATTGTCTTATGCGCAAAGCCTCGGGCGTTTTATCGGGTACACTTTGTGCATGCCTACCTGATAAGAATGTCATGTACACGTGACATGTGGCATGCAACTATGCTTTCGCGCCAAAAACCGTTCAGATCCACACATCACTTTCGAGGCCGAGTCATTCATGGACTGACTAAATCAAACCTGGCGCCTGTCTTCATTTGATGTGAAGTTTAGCGCAAACTTCCGAGTCTGTTTCCAAATACGTTAGATCCAGAAGCATACTCTCCTTCAGGTTCCTCTGAACAATATTTTAGTAGCACAAGTCATCCAATATGTCCCCGCTCGGATGAGCCCATGACAAGCAGTGTGCATCGAAAGGCAGGAAGCAGTGCGGAGTTAACGGGGTCAACACAAGCAGCGACGGAGATGTTACGGAGGGCGTCACTAATGCGTGATGCCTTTGGAGCGGAAGTCGACAAACGTCGAATGAAATTATGACCCAAAAAGAAGGCAAGGAAACGACAGGCGGCGATCACGCTGCGCGCCAGTATACGACCAAGCTGGAGATAGAGGCGGATGTTCCAGAGCCATGCGACATTGACTCCCGTCTACGCGCCTCGAAACACCCTGAGAAGTTGAAGGCCATGTCGTTGTTTAACGCTGATGGCGTCGGCTGTATCGTAGAGGCGTCGGACGTCGTAACTATTGCGGATGGGCAATGTCTCACCGACGTCATCGTGGACTTCCATAACGTGTGAGTGTTTTGCCTTTTTTGGCAAACTCTTCCGTTGCCTGCCTGGTTTTCATGTTTTTGGACACACGCGCGTTTGCTGTCTTTATAAGTTCATGTTACTGCTGCGCAGGTTGCTGAGCATTCGGCATCCCACAACGCGCAACGGCACTACATGGGCCGCGGTTGACAGCAAGGCTTTTGCGTATGTCACAACCTTCAAGAAGCCTTACTGAATGGGCAAATCGGCCAGGGTGTTTGGCGTCGACTATTTGGCAGTACCAGTCTTCAAAAAGTGAATTATGTTTTCGTGATGCTCTCGATTTTATAACTTTGTAGGAGCCTAAACATTGATCATCCGTACATATGTTATGCGCCATGTGGCAGTGCTCACTATTCTCTCATGATCGTGCCCTCACAAAAGCGACTGCTGGGCCCCACATCGGTAGATGCAAATCATCGACTGGAGCTGATTCTACTTGACAGTTATGGCACTCATCGCGACGACTGCACCGTGTTTGATGGCGTCAAACTGTGGGTTTGTTAGTCATTGTGATTTAGCATGGAATAATACGTGTACGAAGTACATGAGTCACTCCTGCGCTGATTTGTTACTACCCAGGTTACTGGAATTCACCGCCAATGACCTATACCCGGAGTGTGATGCGACCACACTCGTGAACGTGCTGAGGGATGCTAAACCCGTTCGGATGAAGGTGGGTGCTAAGTCACAGCCTGTCATGAGCTATGTTGGGTATCCAGTTTGCATCCGTATCTGTGTTAACGCCATGGTGGGCTTTTCTGTGCGCGCAGAAGCATCAAGTGCAGCAACAAGACAACCAGTATGACTGCGGCATATTTTTATGCCACTACTTGAAGGTCTTGGTGGATACTGATTTCAAGACGGTCAAGCAGTGCACTTAGAGCAGTGCACTTAGAGGATACTGTTTCTGTACTTAGAGGGTGTAAGTGCACTGGAGTTCCGGCGAGGCATGCGTGGAGATTTATGCATGCATGTGGCCGAGGAGCTTGTACCAGCGCTCGTGAAACAGGGAGTGGTCGTCCCGAAGAAACCCACACCTAAGGTCACTGCGGATGGCGCCGTTCTTGACTCTGGAGTGGAGGACGGTAACACGAAGCTGACAAGGATGCAAGTGGAGTTGTACGTCATGAAGAGGGACATGTTCATTTGGAAAGCGGCCGTCACAGCCGTTGGCGCTGTAATGGGCTACAGTTATGACCAGCTCATCGCAGCCGCTGCGCATGTTTTGCAGACATAAGGATCTGAAGGGGGAGTGGTTGCGCCTGGCTGCTGCCGATCTACTGTGCCGTCAACTCCAAAGCCGGGTGCAAGTGTGCGGCCAAGTGCTTTCGACAGCCCAGGATCCAAAGGCGACGCGGAGGCAGGGGTGGCCCATGACGGTGCAGCCACCGAGGTCCTCGAGCTTGGGGTTGTTCATCCAAGTTCCTGCGCCCTACCCACACCAGCCACGCCAACCTGGTCGCTCAAAGGCACACCCGGAAGCATGGCCAACACGAACCAAACAGTGTCGACGATCGATACTGCATGTGGGCCACGGCCGGTGGTGTTGGCTATGCTGGCAAAGAGGAAACGCGGCCCCACGGCTCCGTCGGGGAGCGATGCTGAGGGCGAAGTGCCAGCAGGCAAGCGCAAGGGTAAGGGACAGGGGGCTACATCTCAGTACAAGGGAGTGCGGAAGGAGAAGCACGAGAGATGGAGCGCCAAGATTCTATTCCGGGAGAGTGGTAAGGCGAAGCGCACGCAGATGAGGTTGGGTGTATACAAGAAGAAGCTTGAGGCTGCAACGGCATACGCAGCTGCGGTGCACGTTGTGAAGGAAGGTAAGCGTGTGGCTGGAACGGTGGAGTTGACGGATGAGGAGAAGGGTATGCTGCAGGGCTGCACTTTGTCCGTGACTGGCATCCTGCCGCGCAGCTGCGTACAAACTGCGACAACATCACCACCATGTTGCCAAAAACCTGGTTACAACGCTCACCCCACATGGCACCCAAAACCGTACTCACGTCATCCGGCGTACGATTAACCATCGAATTGTACACCACTCATACTGGAACACATGTTTCTCGCATACTCGTGCGCAGCATAGTAACCCAGATTCGCCCACCACTGCACACCTTATTACACTACACACATTTGCGTCCCTGAACAAGTGATTAGTAAAGTTAAAACATCATGTTCACCCATCACAGAATTCCTTCTTGGATCATTAGTCTCCAAAACCGCAACGGCATTACCCATGCTCCCCATGCAGTGCTTCCGTACCCAGATGGGCATTTACTCCACTACAACCCACTATCCTACGCAAACACAACAACGCGGAAAGAGCAAAATGGTAGTAGCCACCACATGCCCACACTTCAAATTCCGTCGCCGAAAACTAGCCCACGCATCAAACACTACCATGTGAATCCGATGCATTGTCCTGTTCTGGCGCCCTCTGCGCATAACAGCCTCGGATTAAGTGCTCTAGTCTGCACAAGGTCAGCATCAGCCCATGCTTCCCCCAGACCCACGCAGCCGCCTCAACATCGTTCTTGGGCTTAAACTCTTGGATCGCCTGAGTCACAGCATACAGGCCACATGGTGGAGCCCGTCCACCACCTGCGCGTTGCCGCCAGTAGAGTTGGACAGGCGGCCCTTGCGCTTGTCCCAGTTCAGGATCGTGTCCGTCACCTACGTAAAACAACAAACGGGTCTCCCACAGACATAAGTTCCTTGCATTTCGTAAGGTCACAGTGCATCCCCACAACTCACCACATGCTCGAGCCACGCCATCTGGTACAGCTTCACTGTCACAGTCCCATTGACCTTCTTCTGCTGGAAGGCTGTCACGGCACAAGCAGTGAACGCGCCCGACGCAAAGATCATGCCACTCTTGCTCTCGCTCCATGTTGAAAGCGTGAGGTCATCTGCACAAACCATCGGCAAACGCAAGGCCCCGTCAATGATACTCTACACATCAGCCCGACTTTGCACAGCCCACCGCGTACCGTTCACATTTGTCCAGAAGGCGATAACGAACCCGATCCTCCGCGGCCTCTCTCCGTTTCTTGCGTGCCCACGGGCTTCGTGCATCTCGATCATCGAGCCATAGTCCAATGCGCGGCAGCGCTATGTCACGTACGCGCCCCGTGACCTTTGTCTTCCACTGGCTGAGTGACTTGTTCAAGTCACCTTGTCGCGTCTTGTCGGTAGCCAGTGCGAAACCTGCATAGTTAAACGTCAGACGGAGGGTGATCGCGCATACGCCTAGCGTCTTGTCCTTGCTGCTTGGATAAAACGTCATGCCTTCATTCGCCCAGTCGATTAACAAGTACTCTCTCACATGATCGCAGGTTTTCTGCCAAAAAACCAAATACAACGTTCATGGAAACCTAACATTACGGAGTTGATGTGGTCCGAGTTATAACCTCACGTCGCAGTAACGTGATGAACCAAAACGTGGATACTCACGTTATAACCCCAACGCCATTGACGTGGTCCGAGTTATAACCTCACGTCGCAGTAACCTGATGAACCACAACGTGGATACTCACCTTCCACAGCTTGCCCGCGGGAAGGAAATCAAGCGCCTCCTGAAGTATGGGAGAACTCGACACCGTCATGTGGCGCCTCATGCGTACAGACGCCCTTACAGGCACCTCTTCCGCCTCCCCTTCATCATCCTCCTCGGATGACACGTCTTCTGAGCCTGCCGAGACTCGCCTCCGCTTGCTCTTCTGCGCATCAACACGCGCCCGTTCCTCACGCAGACCCCTTTGTATCTTATTATGCCTTTTGGGATCCTGGGCGGCCAGCAGCTGAGCCTCAAGGCGCACAATCCGACGGTCGCTCTCCTCTCTCGCCATCTTCATCTCCTTGAGCTCGGCATGGCTTACAACGACGTTGTCATCGGCCAACGTTTCTTCACGACGAGATCCAGTTGCCGGCTGCGCAGATCCGCACGGCATCGCTTCAAAAGGGTTGTCTGGCCCTGGAGGAGGCGGTGCCTTTGCAGGTTGGTCGGTCGCCGTACTAGGCGCGTCTGCCATAACAGACGCAACAGCCTTGGATCGGACCGGTGCTGCCTCAGCATCGCCGTCGCTACCCACATCCTCACTGCTTGCACCGACGCTAGACGCGGCCGCCCCATTCGGCGTGACGTGTGATGCTCCCTGGGGCGCACTAGCCACTCCTGTGTAGAAGGTGTTATCAACATTCAGCCATCAGATCACTGAACAGTAGCAATCTGTGAAGGCTAAAATCGCACATAAGCAACTTTTGCAAACACATCGGGATGCAAAGATTCCGCCGAGTACAATACCTTGTACAGGAACACACTTCTGCTTGGCAACCCTTGAACGCTTGTACTGCACAGGGTCCCCGCGGACACTTTTCACTTCGCGAGAACGTTTACCGGTCAAGTGGTACGCGTTTCGGAGATTTGCTAGGGTTCGCTTTGGCCTGTGCGGCCGGCCTGCAGGCAGCTCTTCCGACGTCCCCAATGAGGGCTCCATTGCGTCTTGGCAAAGCTAAGAAGTTGCGGTTGTGTTGCAGAAATGCAACTTTTTTGCAACTTTCCTGTGACTCGGATTTCTGCAACATTCGTCCATCACTGGAAAGTTGCGGGGATGCGGTTTCTTAAAAATAACCTTTTTGCAAGTTTCCCGCAACCTGGAAGCAAGCCCTTTTTCGCAATGTTGGTATGCCACAAACATGTAGAAGCAATGCAATACGAGGTGACAGGCAACGAGGACCTGTACGAATTTGCCGTCACAGACAAGCCCGTCACGCAAATGCGCGGGCGGCTTCGACCAACCCTTGCATGGTGGAGCGCAAAGGCTGGGCGCACGGGGGGCTTGTTCTAGCGCGACGAAGGGGTAGAGCGGTGGAGGCCCTGTGCTAGCGCGACGGCGGGGCCTGCGTGGGTCTGTATCAAACGAGAACGGGGGCTCGCAGAGCCCTTAACCAACCTGAAAACGGGGGGCCCGCCTGGGCCAGTGTTTAGCTGGAAAACGGGGCCCGCGGGGCCCTTTAACTAGCGTGATAACGGGGCTCGCATGGGGCCTTCAGCTAGTGCGAGAACGGGGCCCTTAAAGCCCGTAGCCCAAATTGCAAGCCGTGTGCGTCAAGTTTTTAAAACTTGACGCCCTGAATTTCGGGTTACCAAGTTTTGGGGAAAGAGAGTGAGCGCGACACAACACAGGTAGTGAACCAATGAGAATAGACTACCCTGATATTGTGAACCAATGAGATTGAGCACAATTGTGTTTCGTCGCAAACCAGGGTTCGGAAGAACCAACATACACCCAAAAACTTGAAAACGAGGTGTGCAATTTGGGACTCTTGGACACAAACAAGCACCCGCCGCACAACGAAAAAGCCCACACACAACTCAGGCACACCAGGAACGGCCATGGCACACCTGCTCACTAATTGGTAGCCTATACGATGGAATATGGGGCGCTAGCAGCGGAAAATAGGGGCATTGATGGTACTGTTTCTATTGGTTGTTTCTCCCACCTTCAAGCAGAGCGCACCTCACAACGAGGTTTGTGGCAATGGTCATGTTCGTCGTGTCAGTTGTAGCCATAGTCGCAGCGATGGCGGCTCTCCATCGACTTGCCATGTTGACGAAGCTGCTCGCCGCTTTCGACGTCGCGCTGCATCCCGTCGCGCTGCGTTTCGTCGCGCTGCGCCTCGACGCGCTGCGTCTCATGGCGCTGACAGAGGTCGCGTGGGGTTTCATCGCGCTGCGTTGTCGCTCTCTTCGCCTCGGAAGGGAAAAAAAATCCGTGTTGTCATTCGATTCGCGTGAGCGAATGTGCAAAAATCCGCGCATCGCTTACAACTGCGCGCCTCGGTTTGAAATGATCGGTGCTACATCGACATAATGCGACTTCGGCTCGTTGCCGTCAGGGCCACCATCGCGTCCTTGATATCGTCTCTGCGAGTTCCTGCCCCGTCCCCGCTGTCCCCATTCGCCCTCCCCGCCCTCTGCCCGCCGCCCGTCCGTGGGCAGCAAAGTGGCATCCCTGTTGCACCATCCCCTCTTTTCTCCTTCCGCCCCCACCCTTTTCTTCCCCTCGCACCTCCCCTCTCCTCGCCTCATTTCCCTCCTCTCCCCTTCTCTCTTCGTTCCACCGCAACCTCTCAAAGCCTTCCATCCCCAACGTCCCATATGCTCTTCTTTCTTCTCTCCTTTCCTCGCCTCCGTCTGGGCTCCCCCTTTTTAACATTCACTGCTGTCTTGCTCTCGTGCCACGGTCCTCGCCGTCTTGGTCGAGTCCCGGCCTGGCCCCTCATGTGAGGGGTGTAACAAACTTTCTCTCTTTCCTTCCCCCCTTTCCCTCCGCCTCCCCCACTCTCCCCCTCTCGCCTCTCCTGCCCACCCAGGCGAGTGGCGATCTGGCGGCACATGCGCGTGTTCTACGCACATGTGGCAATGAGTGGGCAGCTCATAGCGGCGCTCTCAGGCCACAGCAGCAGGGCGCTCTCTACTCATTGCAGCCATGATGGCGTGGCCATCGCCAAACGTGCGTGTGATCCCACGTGCCCCGACGGGTGTGGTTGGTTGGTCTGTCACCACAGCGCTCGGGCTCATTAGCAGCAGCGCCTTTTGGGAGCAGTCATGACGCACACATACATGAGGTGTATTGTGCCTACGCTAAACAATGAAACCAAAACCAACAAACAACAGTAAGCCATGCATAAAACGAACCCCAAACCTCACGTCCGCCCTCCGCTCTTCCCCACTCCGCCTTCCCAGGCTCCCACTCGCCTTCTCACCTCCTCTCCTCCTCCTTACCCCCTCCCGTCCCCCTCTCACCCCTCCCCCCTCCCCAGCAGCAGGGTGGGTGAGCAGCGGGCGGGATGGGTGAGCAGGAGGCGGGCGAGTGGATGGCGGGCGCACACCGAGCAGCAGGTATGCTTATAGCCGCGGTGCAGATATCGTTGCTCAACTTTGAGGTATGTGCGCTTGAAACGCTGCGTTACCCAGTGTACACTGGGGGTCTAACAGACATAGGTTTCTTGCAGCTGGCGATGGGCGTGCGGAACAATGCCTCTTCGCATGACAATTGGGGAGAAAGCTGGGGAGGGCTTAGTGTCATGTCTCAAGCGGGCCGTGTCATCTCTCAAGCATGCCGTGTCATGTCCCAAGCACGCTGTGTCATCTCTCAAGCGCACCGACACAGGCAGCAATTTCAGACAAGTGTCACTACTCATTCGCACTTGCCACGTCCGCCCCGTGCCATCATGGCGGGAACGCACCAAGCATCCCCACACCGGCCTTTTCGTGTTTCAACTTCAATGGGAATGGCGCAGTGGAGTTCAAGCACGGGCAGTGCTATGCCAACTGGCGCACCAACGAGGATGCCACGGAGCCTGGCCAGGGCGGCACTGTCAGTCGCCCCCCTCCCTCCCCTCCCCCCCTCAATCCCCCCCTCCACTGCCGCTCTCCTACTTCTCTAATCCTCCTTCTTGCCTCCCTCGTCGTGAGGTCTAAGGAACCTTGTATTCCCACATCGGCTCATGTCTCCCCCACATCTCCCCCCTCTCTCCTCCTCCTCCTCCCACCACCACCTGCCGGCCCGCCTGCCAACCTCATCCACATTTCTTCCCCCAAGCTGCTATCATCAACGCCCTACTACCACAGGCACAGGAGGGAGGGCTTCCTCACGCACCCTCGAAACCCATCTCTCCCCATCTCCCCCCACCTCCCCCCTCTCCCCGCAGCTGCTGACATCAACGCCCTACTACCACGAGGAGCACGGGGAGGGCCTCTTTACCCACAGCCTCTACTGCCTCGGCAACCGCCTCCCTGACTGGGTGGGTGCTGCAAATTGCCACCTGAAATATCACCTCGCTTGGACTGAATACAACGAGTACCCCACCTTGTTCACTGTGTTCTCGTCTTTTCTTCTAGACACTTACCTCGCTGGAGGAATTTCTCTGCTCTGCATGTGCATAACGATTGAATCGTGTCTCATTGTGTAGGTCTCTTGAATTCAAAGGCAGGGCTCTATGCATGTGTTGTGTGCACGCGTCCATTTCCTGCATTGCATTCACCCCACCAGCGCCAGCATTCATGTGTTGCGTGCAGGTGAACCGGTTGGTCCCGCCATCAGCTCTGGTGGTGGATGAGAAGAGCTGGATCAGCTGCCCCTACTTCCGAACCATCATCACCATCCCCTTCTTTAGTGAGGTGCGTTCTACCATGCACGCATGTGTTGCCCTTAACACCCTTATCACCACCATAATCATCACCATCACCACCATCCTGTTACAGCTAGGTGCATGCCAGCCCTACATGCACGTGTTGCCCTCCCATCCCCTATCACACTCACGCCATCACCATCCTCACCACCCTCACCACCCTCACCACCCTCGCCACCCTCACCGCCCTCCTCACCATCTCCCCACTCAGCACCCTCCTCGCCATCTCCCCCCACATCACACCTTCCATCTACTCACCTATTTTCCCCGGCCACCCTCCTTTCCTCTTCCACTCTCACCCCTTCTTCACCCGTCGGAAATCTCTGCCTCTTTCCACCCACCCCAACGCCTTGGGGTTGTCGGCAGGTGAGCTGGCATTACGGCGCGTGTACTGGATGGCCATTGGCATCGAGCCCGTGGCTAAATGCGACTACAAACGCCTCTACCTCCTCGCCCTCTCCCACATCAGTATCGGCCCGGGGTTTCAGAAGAGGGAGCGGCCGCCGATGTGTGCGTACAAGGTGGTGCCACGACTTGTCCCACTCTTTCCCCATCCCCACCCTCTCTCCTCTCCCAACCTCTGTCCCCCTTCCTACCCCAAGTGAGGCCCCCTCTCCCTCTTCTTCACGCTCTTGCTTCCTCACCCTGTCTTTCCCACACTCTTTGCACGCTGCTCTCTTCTTCTCCCCCAATTTCTTCCAATCGTTCTCTTAAAACATCACTTCCGTTTTTTCTCCCCCTCCTCTCTATTCCTCCCCCTCTCCTCTCTGCCTTAAAATTAATGCAATCACAGACAAGCACAAGGCACAAGTCCCAAAGACCCTCCCCCCTCCCCTTTCTTCCTCTCCTCTCCTCTCCCTTTCGCCCACCCCCCTCCCTTCTCTGCCTGCCCTCAGTTCATTGCAATCACTGACAAGAACGTGCTGGTTCCCAGGCCCCTCGCTCCTCCTGAACCTGCTGCCGAGCCTGTTCTCAGACCTGCCTCCGAACCTAAAGCTCTCAGCAGGAGGGAGGGAATGATAGCGGGTTGAATGGAAGAGGGGAGGGAGTGGAGGAGGGATGGGATGCTGACACAAGGGAGTAAGAAGAAGGGGAAGGGGGGGAGAAGAAGGAGTCAGAGGAGGAGGATGAGGAGTGGGATGATGAAGTGGAGTTCTACGCGGCACAGGTGAGAGCTGCACCACACTGCTGCTGGGCTGGGACTCATACCCACCCTCTTTCATGAAGCTTCCTAACTGGCACACATATGGACTTCTTACCCTGGCCACCATGTTGTGCCAGTGTTGGTCCTCAGATGGTCTTACAACACTGGCCCAACACGGCAGATGGTCTTACCCCCTTTTCCCCCCGCAGAGGAGGAACTGTACGGGGTGAAGATACTTTCAGGTGACATCCTGACCTCGGGTGGTCTCCACATGTCAGGTGAAATTTCAGGGTGAGATTCTATGTTGCCACCCATACACGAACCCCCGCTCCCCTCTCCACCGCTTTTGCCCTCTTGCTGTGTCCCGCTGCTGTACCCGATTTGCTCAGTCTTCTATTCTATGCACTCATCTCACCTTTCCATTACCCCCTCCCTCCCTTCTTCAACTCTATCTCCCTTCCACCTCCTCCCTCTTCTCTGTGTGTCGTGCGCTGACTCCTTCTGCCACACCTGAAAGTGGTGTGTGGCTGGTGGGAGGCAAAGATATTTTGGGAGGCGTCTCAAGAGTTGGCCTGAGGCTGCACCGGGTGTGTTCTGTGTGTTTTGCGCCAAGTTATTTTGTCACACATGCTTTCATGAGGTCAGGTTAGAGGATGTGAGTGGGCGGTGAGAATTGCTTTGAAGAACTTGCACCTACAAGCTAAGGTTCATGTGCATGCGTGCGCCTAGGCTTCCATGGGCTCGCCCATGCATGTCTCTCATGCCCCCATGCCCATGCCTCATTCTCCGTGCCCCAAAACTGCATGCCGGTTCCACATCACGCCTCGCTTGTAGCAGCATGCCACACACCCCGTGGAGCCTCAACAGTTTCCTTCCGCCGCCGCTGCTGCTGATGCACATAATGGCTACTCCTCTCCACTCAATCAGAGTCTACCACTGCCTGTTTGCCCATCGTAGTGGGGTTCCCATCAACCGCTATACACAGAAAAGCAAGTATGCACCGGGCCCTTCCCTACCCCTAGTACCTGTCTTCCCACCACCACCAGTAGCTCCCTTTCCTCCTCGCCTCTCTCGCCTCTCACACTCATACCTCTCTCCCTGCCTCACCACCAGAATCTCCTGCATTGTGACTGCAGTCGGTGTTGTACCCATTCATGCTTCCTTCTCCCCACTCAGCCCATCTCCGTCCTCCAGTCATAAGTGAATTCGCTGATTCCCCACTCTTCCTAATTCCCCCACTACTCTGCCCTGTTATTATTTTCCACATCTTCCCTGTGATCTCATTCCCCATCTGCCTTGTTATAACATTCGTCATCTTCCCTGTCCTTCCTGCACATGTCTGTATTGCACTGGCACCAGCATTCACGTATCCAACTGTAGCAACTGTCTTCACCATCACGAGCACCTGCTACAGCCGGATCACCCTACAAAATTAGTCATGCCAAGCAGTATATCCCATGCTAGTACAACACAGACTACAAAACTACTCTATTGCATGAGACTTGTGTTGTCACGAGCGCATTGTATGAGCTGTACCAACTGTGCTTTTTGGAGACGCGATAATATAGCCCACTCAATCAAGATACAGTTGCTTTTGGCAAAAAAAAAAAAAAAAAAAAAAAATGCAGTGAGCACATGGCTGTGCCTTGTCTCGCAACCGTCCATGTCCAGTAGGATGCTGTTAGAGTTATATAACGAGTGATCGAAGTGTTCAGTTCGCGGAGCAACCGAAAAGCGTAGCACATGATGCCGGATTAAAGAGCGTAACATCATGTTCAGTTCGCCACGCTCTAGCATGATGCCACGCTCTAGCATGCCACGCTATAACATGCCGCGAAAATCGTAGCACATGATGACGGCATGCTATAGCGTGGCATGCTAGAGCGAGGCATGCTATAGAGAGGCAGGCTATAGCAAGGCATGCTATAGTGAGGCATGCTATAGCGGGGCATGCTAAGGCACGGCATCCTATGTCGCGGCATGCTATAGTGTGGCATGCTATAGTGTGGCATGCTATAGCGTGGCATGCTATAGCGAGGCATGCTATAGCGAGGCATGCTATAGCGTGGCATGCTATAGAGTGGCATGCTATCGCGTGACATGCTGTGGCGTGGCATGCTATGGCGTGGCATGCTATTTCGTGGCATGCTATGGCGTGGCATGCTATGGCGTGGCATGCTACAGAGTGGCATGCTATAGCGAGGCATGCTATAGCGTGGCATGCTATAGCGAGGCATGCTATAGCGTTGCATGCTATAGCACCGCATGCTATAGCGTGGCATACTATAGCGAGGCATGCTATAGCGTGGCATGCTATAGCGCGGCCTGCTATAGCGTGGCATGCTATAGCGAGGCATGCTGTAGAGAGGCATGCTATAGCGAGGCATTCTATAGCGAGGCATGCTACAGCGTGGCATGCGATCGCGTGGCATGCTATGGTGTGGCATGCTATGGCGAGGCATCCTACGGTGCGGCATGCTATGGTGTGGCATGCTATGGCGTGGCATGCTATAGCGTGGCATGCTATAGCGAGGCATGCTATAGCGGGGCATGCTAAGGTGCGGCATCCTATTTCGCGGCATGCTATAGCGAGGCATGCTATAGCGAGGCATGCTAGAGCAAGGCATGCTATAGCGTGGCATGCTATAGCGTGGCATGCTATGGCGTAGCATGCTATGGCGTGGCATGCTATTGCGTGGCATGCTATGGCGTGGCATGCTATGTTGTGGCATGCTATGGCGTGGCATGCTATGGCGTGGCATGCTATGGCGTGGCATGCTATGGCATGGCATGCTATTGCGTGGCATTCTATAGCGCGGCATGCAATAGCGCGGCATGCCATAGCGTGGCATGCAATGGCGCGGCATGCTATGGCCCGGCATGCTATCGCGCAACATGCTCTAGCGTGGTATGCTTTGGCGCGGCATGCTATGGTCCGGCATGCAATAGCGTGGCATGCTATGGCGAGGCATGCTATAGCGCGGTATGCTATAGCGTGGCATGCTATAGCGAGGCATGCTATAGCGAGGCATGCCATTGCGTGGCATGCTATCACGTGGCATGCTATAGCGTGGCATGCTATGGCGTGGCATGCTATAGCATGGCATGCTATGGCGTGGTATGCTATGGCGTGTCATGCTATAGTGTTCCATGCTATCGCGTGACATGCTATAGAGAGGCATGCTATAGCGAGGCATGCTATAGCGTGGCACGCTATGGCGAGGCATGCTGTAGCGTGGCATGCTATGGCGTGGCATGCTATGGCGTGGCATTCGATGGTGTGGCATGCTATGGCGTGGCATGCTATGGCGTGGCATGCTATAGCGTGGCATGCTATGGAGTGTCATGCTATAGCGGTCCATGCTATAGGGTGGCATGCTATGGCGTGGCATGCTATGGCGTGGCATGCTATGGCATGGCATGCTATAGCGTGGCATGCTATAGTGTGGCATGCTATAGTGTGGCATGCTATAGTGTGGCATGCTATGGCGTGGCATGCTATAGCGTGGCATGCTATAGCGTGGCATGCTATAGTGTGGCATGCTATGGCGCGGCATGCTATGGCGTGGCATGCTATGGCGTGGCATGCTATAGTGTGGCATGCTATAGTGTGGCATGCTATAGCGTGGCATGCTATAGCGTGGCATGCTATAGCGTGGCATGCTATGGCGTGGCATGCTATGGCGTGGCATGCTATGGCGTGGCATGCTATGGCGTGGCATTCTACAGCGTGGCATGCTATAGCGAGGCATGCTATAGTGTGGCATGCTATAGTGTGGCATGCTATAGTGTGGCATGCTATAGCGTGGCATGCTATAGCGTGGCATGCTATAGCGTGGCATGCTATGGCGTGGCATGCTATGGTGTGGCATGCTACATCGTGGCATGCTATAGCGAGGCATGCTATAGCGTGGCATGCTATAGCGAGGCATGCTATAGCGTTGCATGCTATAGCACCGCATGCTATAGCGTGGCATACTATAGCGAGGCATGCTATAGCGTGGCATGCTATAGCGCGGCCTGCTATAGCGTGGCATGCTATAGCGAGGCATGCTGTAGAGAGGCATGCTATAGCGAGGCATGCTATAGCGAGGCATGCTACAGCGTGGCATGTGATAGCGTGGCATGCTGTGGTGTGGCATGCTATGGCGAGGCATCCTACGGCGCGGCATGCTATGGTGTGGCATGCTATGGCGTGGCATGCTATAGCGTGGCATGCTATAGCGAGGCATGCTATAGCGTGGCATGCTAAGGTGCGGCATCCTATTTTGCGGCATGCTATAGCGAGGCATGCTATAACGAGGCATTCTAGAGCGAGGCATGCTATAGCGTGGCATGCTATAGCGTGGCATGCTATGGCGTGGCATGCTATGGCGTGGCATGCTATTGCGTGGCATGCTATGGCGTGGCATGCTATGTTGTGGCATGCTATGGCGTGGCATGCGATGGCGTGGCATGCTATGGCGTGGCATGCTATGGCATGGCATGCTATTGCGTGGCATTCTATAGCGGGGCATGCAATAGCGCGGCATGCCATAGCGTGGCATGCAATGGCGCGGCATGCTATGGCCCGGCATGCTATCGCGCAACATGCTCTAGCGTGGTATGCTTTGGCGCGGCATGCTATGGTCCGGCATGCAATAGCGTGGCATGCTATGGCGAGGCATGCTATAGCGCGGTATGCTATAGCGTGGCATGCTATAGCGAGGCATGCTATAGCGAGGCATGTCATTGCGTGGCATGCTATCGCGTGGCATGCTATAGCGTGGCATGCTATGGCGTGGCATACTATAGCGTGGCATGCTATGGCGTGGTATGCTATGGCGTGTCATGCTATAGTGTTCCATGCTATCGCGTGATATGCTATAGAGAGGCATGCTATAGCGAGGCATGCTATAGCGTGGCACGCTATGGCGAGGCATGCTGTAGCGTGGCATGCTATGGCGTGGCATGCTATGGCGTGGCATGCGATGGTGTGGCATGCTATGGCGTGGCATGCTATGGCGTGGCATGCTATAGCTTGGCATGCTATGGCGTGTCATGCTATAGCGGTCCATGCTATAGGGTGGCATGCTATGGCGTGGCATGCTATGGCGTGGCATGCTATGGTGTGGCATGCTATGGCGTGGCATGCTATGGCGTGGCATGCTATAGTGTGGCATGCTATAGTGTGGCATGCGATAGTGTGGCATGCTATAGCTTGGCATGCTATAGCGTGACATGCTATAGCGTGGCATGCTATAGCGTGGCATGCTGTGGCGTGGCATGCTATGGCGTGGCATGCTATGGCGTGGCATGCTATGGCGTGGCATGCGATGGCGTGGCATGCTATGGCGTGGCATGCTATGGCGAGGCATGCTATAGCGTGGCATGCTATAGCGTGGCATGCTAGAGCGAGGCATGCTATAGCGAGGCATGCTATCGCGTGGCATGCTATAGCGTGGCATGCTATAGTGTGGCATGCTATGGGCGTGGCATGCTATAGCATGGCATGCTATTGCGTGGCATGCTATCGCGTGGCATGCTATCACGTGGCATGCTATAGCAGAACACGGGGACCTCTATGCCTATCACGTGGACTTCTCCCCTGCTGTCAGCTCCTCTTCGTCGTTGACGCCGTCATTGTCGGCGAGCTGTTCTGCCAGCGTCAGCCCTTCGACCAGTTGCTCCCCTCTCGTCGGCCCGCTTGCCGACTTATCGTCAGTCGACAGCTCCTCTTTCGACCGCCCCGTCTGCTCCTCCCCTGTCAGCGGCACTTCTACTACTGCCTCCTTCTCGACCAGCTCCCCTGTCTACTGCTCCCCTGTCGTCGACGGCTTCACACCCTCGTTGACAAGCTTGCCGTCTCGTCAGCCGCTGGCGATGCCACTGGCCGGCACCACAGGCGACGCCTCGCTGCTCCCATCATCGCCGGAGGCCGACGACTAGATCGACACAGGCATGTCCGAGAGGAGGGGTGGGGTAATAGGAACAGGAGGAGGGGGAAGGGGCGGTGCGGAAATATCTCTAACAACGGGAGCTTAGACTATGGGCGAGGCATGGATAGGAGTGATCGTAGCATTTGTTCCTTAGTCATTCGCTTGTGTTCACTCCACGTTCACATTCACGGGGGAACTTGGCAAGTGTTTCACTAGAAAAAGATTCACATCAACGGTTCAAAATGATGGCAACAAAGTTGGCAAGGCTGACTACATTAGACCTAGCGTCCAAGCAGGTCGACTCCTAGCACAGCACGGTCGACCGCGTTCCACCGCTGCAGAGCAGTGGCTTGCCAACGTTGCAAGTCCGCGGTGTGCCAACGCTGCAGTCAGTCGGATGCACAGCGTTGCACCCGCATGACAACGGTGCACCTGCTTCGCAGGTGCGCACGGCTGGTTGGTGTGCCACGCCCCGTCACGTGCACAGCGCAGACGCCAGGCCGAGAACACACCAGCGACTGTGCCTACCAGCCACGTCGACCTCGAAATACCTATTTCGAGGTCGGCTTCGCATGAACCACCTGGGCGACCGTCGTGCACTTCCGGTGATCCCCGTCGGCCGGGTAACCTGGTCGACCAGGCAACCACCAAGGCGGCATCGGCTTGTGTGCCCTGCGTCGACCAGCTGCTTCTCCTCGTGCCCGTCGCCCACCCAAGTCGACGACCACTTCCAGTCGACCAAACCAGGTCGACCAGCCCAGCTGTTAGTGGACCACACCATGTCGGCTTCTCCTAGATCGGCATCACCAAGTTAACGCCGCCCAGGTCGACCTCGCCATGTCGACCACCCAAACTTGGTGCCCTCCAAACTCGGCGCCCTCCCCTGGTCGACGAGCTCGTCGTCGACCACCCGCGGATGTCAGCTACCGGCATCCCGAAGTCGGCAGCTTAGAGTGGCCCCACACAGGTCGACCTAGCCCGACAACCAGCTCGCCCAAGTCGGCGTCGCCCACTGCTGCAGGTCGGCTGCACCTCCCGCACACCCGACCACGAAGTCGGCTCCGCCCAGGCGAGGGCAGGGCTCCCGTTGACACTTCCCTGTCGCGTTCACGCTTGGGCCCCCCCAGCCCACACGGCAGCACTACTCGGAGAATAGCCCGTCGGCGTGCACCCAACACACAGCACGCCGGTCACCGCACCAGCCATGCAAGGAACATGGCAACAGCTGCTGCACATCATCGTCGCTGCCGCCCACGTCGGCCAGGCGCACTTGGCCGATTGCAACGGAGCACCGGTTGAAGGCAGTATAGTGCAGCGCCTTCGACAGGTAGTCGGCCGGCTGTTCGGTGGTCGGGATGTAATTCAGCGAAAACTTCCCGCGCTTTACCATGTGTTGCAGCCACGCGTAGCGTCGCTCCATATGCTTGAGGTTGCCCGTCAACCCCATGCCCTCGGCGACCGTGATGGCCGACTTAATGTCCACCCGAAAGACGGCCGGCGTCCCGACGTCCAGCTGCCGGAACTCTGCAAGGAGGAAGCGAAGGCGACGTCCCTCCTTGCCGGCCTCGGTTGCCGCCACGTACTCCGACTCAGTCGAAGACAACGTTACGCACTTGATGCGCTGGCTCGACCAGGAGACTGCGGCCCCTCCGTAGACGAACACATAGCCGCCCGTGCTCGTCGGCGTCGTCAGCGTCCATTTAGCCGACCAGCTCCAGCGTCTTAGGCCCACCGCCGAACTCCAGGGCGGTGTCACGCGTGTTGGTAATGTAGGCGAGGCAACGATCGACCTCGCGCTAGTGCTGGTCGCTCCTCACTGTTAGGCCGCTCCCCAGCTTGATGCAGGCCTCGCCGTCTTCGCCGGCCGCGATGTCCGACCTCGCCGTCGTCGCCGCGAAATGCAGCGAGCCGACCTTATGCCAGTACTCCTCCTCCTGGCATTCGTGGGACTCCTCGTCATTGAACGTCAGCTCGGCGTAGGCGTCGACCGAGACTGGCGTCTTTCTGGTGCGCCTGGTCTACTTTTCGTCGATGAACCGCCTGCGCAGCTTGTCGGCGTAGCCCTGCTGGTGCAGCCATAGCTTCCTCGCCGGCCTGTCGCGCACGATCTCCAGCCCGAGGTACTTCTCCACCGGCGAGATCTCGCGCAGCTCGAAGGCGGCCTCCAGCAGCTCCTTCAGTTCCTTCAGCATCGCGATGCTATTGCTAGTGGCGAGCAGGTCGTCGACGTAGACTAGCACCCAGCAGGCCACGCCATCCCCGCCAACCTTGAAGTACAGAGCCTCGTCGACCTGGCTCTTCTTCCACCCAGCGCCGACCAGCACGTCGTTGAGCGCCTTGTACCACAGCAGCGGCGACTGCTTCAGCCCGTAAAGGCTCTTCAGCAGCTTGCACACCCGGCCGGTCCCATCGTTGAAGTAGTCCGGCTGGTACATGTACAACACCCGGTCTAGCTTGCTCTAGAGGAAGGTGTTCTTCATGTCGAGGACGGCGACGATGCTGAGGAAGATCCTCAGCGTGACATAGCTGCTCACTGGCGTGTATGTCTCGTCGTAGTCGGCGCCGTACACCTGCGTGAAGCCCTTCACGACTAGCCTCGCCTTCTTCCAGGCGACTGTGTTGTCGACGTGGTACTTGGTCATCAGCACCCACCGGTTCTTAATAATGTTGATGCTGCGCGACCGTTCCACCAGCTCCCACGTGCTGTTGGCGATGAGGCTGCGGATCTCCTCGTCCATGGCGGCCTTCACCGCCTTGCCCTTCCAGCTCGCCAACGTCTTCTTCACCATCATCGTCACGATGTCCCAACGGTGCTCGGGGTCGGCGTGCATGTCGGGGTCGAGCTCTGGCAGGTCGACGTCATCCTCGGCATCGACATTCGCCAAGTCGTCGTCGTCGGTGACGGTGTCGTACAGCATTGTGTAGGCAGTCGGCGGCACGCATGCATGGTAGGACAAAAAATTCGACGGCCTCTAAACTCGGCCTGAACGCCGAGGTACGGGCGGAACCTCCATCACATCGTTGTCGGTGGACTCCTCGGCGCCTAACTGCTCCCCTCCGTCGTCGCCAGCTTCGCTGCCCTCGACGTCCTGCTGCTGCTCCTCTGTCGGCGTCCTCGCCGACTTCTCCCCTGTAGTCGGCTCTTCTGCCGACTGCCCAGTCGACGACTGCTCCTTGGTCGGCTTCATTGCTGACGCTTCATTCGCCGCCTTCACCAAAGTCGGTTGCACCTCCGTTGCCTACTGCTCCCCTGTCGACGTCGACTTCAATCCCACGTCAAGTCCGCCACCGGTGATGCTCTTGGCTAGCGCCACAGGCGACGCCCCACCTCTCCCCTCATCCCCGGAAGCCGACACCGGAGTCAGCCTACGCAAGTCGGCAGCGAGGGGAGGGGCAGGAGGGGCAGGGGAAAGAGGGCGGACGTCCTCGGCGTCCTCAGCAGCAAGCTCACCGACCTCGGCGAGGAGAGGGAGGGTCGTCGTGGAGGTGTCCATCGGCGGGTTGACCTGCATCTTCCCCGACGCCGGACCGTGCTCCGACTTCCACTCCTCCAACGACATCGTCTCGTAGAACACCACGTCCGAAGTAGTGACCAGCCTGATGTCGGTGAGGTTGAGGAGCTCCCAGCCCTTGCTCTCCTCCGACACACCGAGGTGAAGGCCCCACCTGGCCTTCGGCTGCGGCTTTCCGCCACGCTGCTGCTCGGGGACCCATGCAGCCCCACACGCGTGCCAGCGACAAGTCGGGCTTCTTCCCGGTGAGCAGCTGGTACGGCGTCGTCCCCGGCGGCAGCGACGACCGCTCAAGGCAGTTGCGGACCCAGACAGCCTGCCTGACGTAGGGTGAGGTGCCACCAGTGATGCTGCACGCCCATGTGCAGCAGCATCGCCCCGCACTGACTCCACCACCGTCCGCATCTCTCGCTCCGCCATGCCGTTCTGCTGCGGGGTGTAGGGGCAGGTCAAGTCGTGGACGATCCCCTTGCCGTCCACGAAGGCAGTGAACTCCTTCCCGAGGAACTCCCCTCCCTGGTCAGAACGCAGCATCAGCACCGACTTCTTCGTCTGCCGCTCAACCGTCACCAGCCACTTCCCAAACTCCCGCAGCACGTCGGAATTCTTGGCGACCAGCCTCACTCACACGTAGCGGCTCTTGCGGTCCTTTAGCAACAAGAAGTACAGGCTGCCATCCTTGGCAGCCACCCGGAACGGCCCGCACAGGTCGATGTGCACGACGGCTAGGGCATCGTCGGCGCCGAAGCCCTTGTCGGGGAAGGTGTGCCGCGCCAGCTTCCTTCCGAC